GATGGAGAATCATTCATTCTGTGATAGGACGCTTTCCTCATAGTTCTGTGTGACTGTGCAGGCGACTTTTAAAACCTAATAAAGCTTTTAATAGATTTTAAATTAATGATTGCCAGTTTACATTGCGGATTCAAGGTCAGCCGATATGTTAAATCGAATCTAATGTGTAGGGGTTTTGTCGTGTATAGGTATTTATGGTTAATGTTGTTTGTTCAAACTAATTTCTTTATTTTATCGATTACATTGTACCAACATTTATTACCTAGTTCAATTTGTTGTATAAACATTATCATTATCATCAAGTTTCCTTTCAAAGCATATTTTAACATCAAACAAAATATAAATATGGAAGGGTTTACCTTTGTGTGTCAGTCTATCGGTCTGTCCTCCAGTGAAGCTATTTGCTCGTTCGAAAGTGTAGATTTCTATGGATGAGAACTGAAAAAACTACATGGTTACTCTTTTTCAATCAGGTTCACAATTCATTTGTTTGAAAAGAACAGAACCGGAAAAAGTAAATAACGTCAAGGACAAATGCTTAGACAGAGACACTGAAATCAATATAGGTAATTATAGCGTCTCACTTTTTATCTTCGAAGGAGTAGGCAGAAGTGCACTTCATTAGACCTAATTTCCAATTTAACACCACTTTTTACTACTTTTGGAATGAGAACCATGTTGGACCCCAGGATGTAATGTTGGACCCCAGGATGTAATAGAACGGGGGAGACGTATTGCCAAATTTGAGCACAATTTTAGATACTGTGTTACTACTTAGAAGTGTTGGTAAAACCAAATAAATTTAACAATTATTTGCACGACTACCTAAGGCCGGCTCCGGCTAGTCTAAGACCCCATGCTTAGCTACAGTCACACTTGATATCACTGAACCAAAGCTGTTATGAGTATATAGTTTTCCTATAGCACTTCGTAGAGGTTTAATTACAAATCTTCGCTTCGCAAATGTGCCATTTTCTTGCTAGAAATATAATACACTATAATCCTTTTTATAAGAATTCATTTTAGGACGAGACAAGTTCTTGCTTTCACCGACCCTTACTTAGTAATGTTTATGGCAAGAAAAATGGGCTTAGGTATAAGATAAAATTTGGGTATCATTTCGTAAGCTGGGGCTGGGTGATAAACCGTTGGGATGCCCACGTCATGTCCAATAAGCTTCGACGACGGATAAAAATTCTTCGCACCGACCCTTTCTATCAGAAAGGATAAAACTATACACTTACATTCAGTTTTTATTACAAAAAAATATACGTGTCGACTTATCGGCTTTTTTGAAATGCAATATCGGATATGAAAATGTTCAAATGGATTATTCACTGGTCTAATTGTGAATTTATATAGAACTAGCGATCCGCCCCGGCTTTATATGGGTGCAATGCTTATACTTACTGTTTAATGGATGTTATTATAAGCCTTCATCCTTAATCACTTTGTCTATTAAAAAAACCACATGGAAATTCGTTGCGTAGCGTTAAATATTTATGTTATATATTTACCAAATACCTTTTGGAAAACAAAGACCCTGGCAAAGGACTCTAAAGGCTCTATTAAAAAGCTTGAAGTAAAATGCTTGGTGCGTGTGATTAGTATTACTGATTGCCTGGTCGTACTATAATGGAAAGAATAAGGGGGGGGGGGGGGCGGGATTAAGTTTTGCATTTGTTGAGGTATCCAGATAAGTTATTCTGGGAGTCATTTGGAGAATTTTGGCTGGGTCGACTGGAGTGATACCACGACCTCACAGAAATCCACCGTGAACTAGTTGTGTTTCGCCGTGTGAGTGAGGTTACCGGAGGCCCAATCCTTTCCCCCCATTCTCAATCTCCAAACCCCCTATCCATATAACTCACAAGTGGACAGTAACGCTCTTGTAGTAACCCCTTTGTTATTAGTGGGTGGCGCTGATTGCTTACCATCACGTGATGCGTCTGCTCGTCTGCAGACGGTGTCATAAAAAAGTAGTCCACGTTTCAAATCCTTTATAATTTTTGATTTTCTACCTTCAATGTGGGTGCTAGGTTTTTGGCCATAAGTGCGGTCTCAATTGTAATAAGGCTAGTGGTTAGCTGATTAATAAGCGTTTACGGAAATCTTACCTTTGTTTACTTTCTCTGGGGAATAATACCCCTTATTTTTATCTGCTTAAGGCTGCGTTTGCGCCCATGCGTATCGTTCCGTGTTCGTCGTGCATTACAGCAAAAGGCCGCGCCATCGCCCCCGCAAAAACAAGTATATGAAAATATCGAGCAATGTATGATGAAGCCCAACTGCGCCGCGCAATGCGTTGTATCCTCTCTGTAAATGAGGCCCTAAGTCTTTTTAGCCGTGGGTTGCTATGGATACGTAAAGAATAAACAAAGAGGATGAAGTAAAAATAATAATAAATTAAAAAGTATAAATGTACAGTGAGTAGAGAAAAAAATATCGTTTTTTTATAACGTCAATTTGCTATTTGAATTTACAAAAATGTAGTTTGCACACATGTTTTTACACATGCATAAACTATAAGCAATCCATTTGCATATTGTAGCATTTTGTAAATATCAGGACAGCGCAATAAATATTTTATCACGTACATTCTGCTATGCCATAGGGTGGACTTGGCTTATGGGCAACCTTTCTAAACCATGGTAGTATTTAATTTATTTTTTATTTCAAAGGTTGATACACGGTGGCAACATCAGAGCAGTTACTATTGCGTTGCCGGCCTTAAAGGAATTAGGGTTTCTGAGATTTGCGGATTGGGGAGAGGAAAGAATGGGCTTCGGGACCTCACTACCATGGCTAAACACAACGCTGTGGTTGTATAACAGCAGTAACCAATTTTCTGTAAGGCCGTGGTGTCACTCCAAACAAGCTAACCCATTCGTGGCGAATCTTGGATCTCCCACACATAATGATTGGCGTAGCCCAATTTTTCTTTTCAATTTATCTTGTGCCTGAAATAGCAAAAGCTAATTGTGCATTCTTAGGTTAAGTACATTGTTCTTTAGATATTTATGTTACACACTTTTCAGGTTTCTGGGTACAAAAAATATGTACAGTCAGGGGTCAAAAATGCAATTACACTCTACCAATTTTAAAATGACCAAAATATCTTTGTATAATAGAGTCAATGGTTGAGGAACATAGAATCTAAATTATTGAATAAACTGGCTGTGAACCATTGAACTTTAACTACAAAAAATTTTAGTTATTTTAAAATTGGTAGAGTGTAATTGCATTTTTGACCCCTGACTGTACCTATGAATGTATAATTTTCTGTTACTGTTAACGGTAAAGGTTTTCTAGCTAATTTTACTCCACGGCAACATGGTTGCAAGCTTATTGATTAGATAATTGTTCAATATGTGGGGCTTGTAGCGTAATTATACAGTAAATGTATGGGGGTCATGTAGGAACAAAAGTGTTATGTCAAATAACCATAGTCGTTCACCTGGGAATGGTGATGAGGTTCCACGTTACTTATGAAGTTAGGTTTAATACAGCGTTTTAGCAGTGGCCTTTTTTTGAGGGGGAAAATCATCCTATGACTTCTCTCGCCCAAGGTGAGGCGAGAAAGAACTCTTACAAGACTCTTACTAACTAAAAACCATGCTTTCTGCATTCTTCTCATGCTCCAGGCCAAGGTCGCGGTACTTTATTGTACTTGTCTCTTGAAGCTCAGGCTGGACATCGGCCCTTTTATGCTCCATTTATGGCATAAATGACGAGTAATAAGTACGTTGATTGTTGTTGATTTTCATTGGTTTTAGTACCTACATAACAATGAAATTCATTTATTGATTTTGTAAGTGTGTAATTACTTTTTTAATGTAATTTTTTTATGTTGCAATAAAATGCGAAATGATTTAGTATTGGCTAAGTTAAGTACTAAGTTAGGAAATCGGTAGGCTCTATCAAATCGTATGAGGAAATCTTAATACAAAACCAATTTATAAGTCCCAAACTCTATTTGCCGTAACGTCGGAACCGGACGTGGACATTGAAAATTCGATCAGCGAAGGAAATTCACTCAGCCTCCGCTCTATACATTACACTTTGAATCTTACTGCCTGGACCAGCAACAGGTACCTTCCTACTCCACTAGTTAAAAATACACGATTTTTTTAAAACGTTTCCCTAAACCTGTTTTATATATTTTTTCCTGTATCGTGGGTGTGTTTACAAATCTATGATTTTACATACACGTACACATTTTACAACCAGAGCTAAGACAAAACATTGTTCCGTGTGGGATGCGGGAATCGAACTCAAGATAAGCTTCCGGTTGCTTCGCGACTTCGCAAACAGTGAAACACAAATAATGATTTTATTTGAGTAATTAAATCACACTATTTTTTACAAGCAATCGACTTTTAATCGATTGAAACTTATAGTACTAACTAACGCCCGGTTCCTATAATTGAGAAACGATCCGTTTTAATTACGAATAGTAGTTTTATATACGACTCGTAAGCTAAAACCGTTCCTATAATAAACGTCTCGTCGTGTAACTTACTGACGGTTTACAACTAACGGATATCGGTAAACGAATTGTATGGAGATCTATGGTGTCTGTGTGTTCCTATAAATATTTTAACCGTCAGTAGACGGTCAAGATAACCATTCGTAATGTCATTTGGTCGTATTGCGTGTACAACGACGATTCGTTAAATATAGGAACCGGGCATAAGATGCTTAGCAACCCGGGATGGTAATGATTTGTTAAATAAATGCTAGGTAAGAAACCCATGTGAAGAAATCCACGTGGACCTACCACGGTATGCCAGATGGGTATTATACAAGATTATATTTCTCTACATAGACAAAAGCGTGTGCATAGTATATAAAAACGTGTTATTAGTTTTAAACTATGAATTAATTGCTTGAGCACTTATTACACGACTGCCCAAAAAAGGAGTGTTGTTTTAACAAACTCGATTGTACGTGTAGTATTTCAAATTTTATTAATCTATAAATTAATGCTTTGTTCCCAGGGATGGGACAGTAGATCTAATGCGGGTGGTGAGGAGACTGAGAGTCCACCGCCTGCACTCATACCCTTGGACGCCGTTTGGCAACCAGTTGGCGGGACTCGGTGAGTTTTATACTTATATTTTTTCATTACAAATAAATTTATTATGTATATAACATAGGAAATTGTGCTTTATTCCTTTATAATTACGTTGATATCTCATCTTATATGTATTAATAATGAATTGGGTTTGTTAGTCTCGCTAAAACTCGCGATAGGCTGAAATGGCTGTCTTGAAATATTCCTGGATATACAAGGAAGGTTTAAAAAGGCACAAACAAAAAATTATAAAAAAAAAACAAATGAAACATTTTGTTATATTTGTGGAGGTAGGTACGAAGTTTGCCGGGTTAACTAGTTTGAAATAAATTAAATACAAATTCAATTAAAAAAAAAAACATATCGTTTAGGTAAAAGATAGATTTTTTACTAAATGATACCTTCGTTATTCCAATGAAATCAACATATAACCTTTATTCTAAAAAAATAAATAAAAACTTCCAATTGAACCAATAAAAGTTATTTGTCCTTTTAATATTCATTTACACAACATAGTAACACAAAAAATGCTAATACACCATATACTATATTCGTCTTTATTACATGACAATTAAGTCGAAAATATATTGATGTTCCTGCTACATGTGGCATTATATATTTTTAAAACGAATATAACTATGACATAATTAATTGTACTGGCAGTTATTATCGTTAATATTTTGCCACATGTTGTACCTAATAGTAATACCTAAAACGCTGAATTGAAGACTCGGTAGCCACAGAATTAATCAGAGGGGGGACACTGCCCTACATCCACCAAGATCGGAAAGATAGAGGTGCCATCTTATATTTGTAACTAAGAAACACTCAATGTCTTGTTAAGTGACTACATATCACAATAGATGTCACTGTCCTGGTGCTGCAGATCTAAAAAACTGCTTCAAAAATGGGTATAAATAACCAGTCATGTGAATTTAAATAACGCTTATAAATATATTTAAAGTGTTTCAAATAACTAATAACTTATATTTATAGTTTAATAAGTGGCGGTTACTATAAAATTGTTTGGATGACAGTCGTTAATCATTCTTAGGGAATTTATTACATGAGAGCATGGCAACACAAGTCTTTTAAATTTTGATATTGACAGATCACACGATGTTTGTTAATTTGAATAAGTTTTGTCTGTTTTTTAATTCCGGAGCCCTTCCTGGCAATTAAACTCTATCTATACGACTGTAAAATAATTTGACTTAAATACTTTAAAGGAATTAAAGGAATTAAAAACAGGCTAAATCAAAATCTATGTATAAATATGGTAAAATCTACATTTATACTATAGGTAGGTATGAATATAGCATGCATTCGTTTCTGGTTACAAAATCCAGAGGGCGCTTCAAATTTGTATGCCAAAAAAATACGCTAGAGGGCTCTCTTCTACTCCTTTATTACTTTACTCTTTGGAATTAATAATAAAATATATAGGTAATAAGTAAAAACTTTATTTTTCAAGTGTAATAGGAAGGAAATTAATGAAAATACATACACAAAGGTATTAAATATTATAATTCTGAGGAAACAAATTGTTCGAACGTGCTAATCTCATTTTTAAATTCGAATTTTGTGTTCGATGTTTAATTTTTTTGTCAAAGGAGGATATAAAACATTCAGGGTTGCAAGCGCAAAAAAGTGCCGCTACCCCGGCTCAAAGCAGGAGACAGCACCGTGTAGTTTATAGTTAGTAAGAATCTGACACTACATGAGAAATGATTTGATGATCAAAAGGAGTTATTACTTTTTTAACTATGAATGACCTTCAAACTTCAAGAAACGAGCGTACTCCTTAAAAGGCCGGCAACGCACCTGTGACTCCTCTGGTGCTGCAGGTGTCCATGGGCGGCGCCGATCGCTTACCATCAGGTGATCCGTCAGCTCGTTTGCCTCCTATTCCATAAAAAAAAGTCAATCAGGGTATGAAACTGTATGGAAGTAGCACAAAAATATAATTATCATCAGTTACTACCAGGCGAGATAGTAACCAAAAGCCTCCCCATTACGTAATAAAAAAAAAAAAAATACAAAGAGTTAAAACTTTTGATGTTTTTATTGTGTATTTATTTATTCAACTTGTCATAGACACGTATTGTTGAAGCATTTATGAATTTTCAAGTATACTAAACTAACATTTAACGGTAAACGATCGATCCATATAAATCAGTAATGTGAAGTTATATTGTCTGTCCACAACTATTCGTTTCACTATAAAATAAATAAACAATTTTCTAATAAGAATATCATATGAACTTGGTGAGACGTATAGTAGACTAGCTTTTGCCCGCAACTTTGTTTGCGTAGAGTAGAGACTTTCTGCAGATTTTTGGTATAAAAACTATCCTATATCCTTTCTCGAGTTCCAAACTATGTCTGTACCAAATTTCACTCGAATAGGATCAGTAGTTTAGGCGTGAAGAAAAGACAGACAAAATAATTTACACAAATTGTCGTAACAACTATCTTATGTGACCAATGATTAATATTCTTAATTTTATCGATACTGCGTTTACCTTGCGTGTTTCGGACATCTGATAGTTTACCATCCATTTACAATATTATTTTACAAAACAATTTGGATCATTAAAGTTCAATAATTAGAGATACAGCTGTGTTAACGTAAAAAAACTGTTACGTCTATAATCATTAGATATAAAATAGAATATTGGTCACCAAATCGACGAAAGCGTTTCTGTAATTACACATTGTCACGTAATGTAGGGTTGTCGCTTGTCGCCAAAAAATGTTTGTCGATGATATATTGACATTATAATTTATAAAGAAAAATTATATCGTCGTACATTAATATGAATATGAGTGTCAACCTTGACAGTTATTATCAGTAAAAGAATATAGATGTACGTATTCCGTTCTATTCATTGTGTAATAAAATATTTGCGGAAAATAATTCGTTCGAGGCTCACAATTTGATAGCGAACGCCAACTTCCAGGGTACTGGACATAAAATTCTGTTCGTCAAAACCACACCTAACATAGAATTTGACATGAACGTTGGAACATTTTTATTTCTTGTTTTTATGTTTACGTTTTATGAGAAAAATAATTTGTACTACACCGCGTGTGCGGATTTGGAACTAATAAATGTTCGAAGACAAACACGTACTCATAGGGAATATAATTTGCAAGATTCTTCAACATAAACCTATACGGCCTTATTACAAAAAAAAATATTTCTTTAGTCATTGAGCTAACATTGAGCCAGTTTTTATATTTCGAATTGAAGGTAGATGAGAATAAAATTCAAAATACAAATCCTGACTCAATAGTTTCAACCTAAAGAAAAATCTTGTTTGTGTTGTGTTGTACGGTGATAAAAAGAAATAATTTTTGTATAGTACCTAACTATCATTAGACATACTCAATTTATTGATAGTAACCAACTTACTTACGCGAATGAACTAAAAGCTCTACTAATTTCAAATCACGGCGGGACTCTTATTCATGATCGGAGGGCGCGTAGCGGCGACGTCGTTCAGCGGACTCTTTAATTCATGCAAATAAGCGGATTTTGCTATAGTATTTGTTATGTTTTACCTGCCTCTTTACCTCTTTTCACTAGTTAGGGATGTGAATCTATACTAGCGCCACTCACAACTAGAAAGTTTGTCTTGAAATAGCAAGTAATTTGTGGAAAGATTTATTTAAATTTCACAATTTGTGTCACCCCTATAATCTGTCCTTCATCATATTAAATTACATTTATTTACTTTTTATGGCTATTAAAATACAATTAGTATAGTTAAAGCACTCACTGGCCAGTGCTAATGACTACTGTAATTTTGTTTTGGTTAAAAAACCATGTTTGTGACACGATGCGTTTAAGCGTTGTGTTTCGCCGTGTGAGAGGTTATCGGAGGCTTAAACCTCCCTTCCGCAATGCCTCCCCAATCCCATAATCGCCTTATCCTTAATCCCCAAAAGGTCGGCAACGTACTTGTAACTCCTCCGTTGTGGCGGGTGTCCATTGGCGGCGATAATTGCTTACTTATCATCAGGCCAAACGTCAGATCGTTGGCACTTCTATAACATAGAAAAAAAGAAATGAAATAAAATCTATATTAGTGTTAAAATGTGATTGCATAAATCTTGTTTTGTAAATATTACTGAATCTCTAGGTTAGTCTCTAGGGTTAATTAATTTTTTGATATGGAATCGAGAAACTATATCTATCTCACTCAAATATAATGCGAATAGATGAAACGAACAAACATGAAAAAAGTCCGTAAATGATGCGAATCACAACAAACATTTTATACGGTACGCTTTGCGAGCAAATTGAATTAACCTTCAATCAGGTTAGCGATTCTAAATTGAAATAAAACCTCCTTAATCGATTACAAGTTAACATAATTCTAAACATCGTAATACGAGTTTCTTATTAATTAACATCGAGTACTTGGTTAAGTTGGTGCATGTAATATTATCGACGAATTAATGTAACGTCTCGGTAATATAAAACCTTCTGATAAGCGGTGGCGTGAGCGTAAGTTTTCCACCTGTAAGTAAGTAAAATTATGTAGTTGTAATGCCAGCCGCGATGCAAATTTTATACATTCCTAGCTCTATTTATAGGTAGAATTTTTTTTTATCTAAATACATTTAATGTAGTAAAAAAGAAATTGATAATGTATTTCGTTTCATTTTTTTTAAAAACGTGCTAACACGATAAGAATTGTAGTGTCAAAATTGCTGAAAATCACATATTGGATCTATATATAACTGGAAACAAGATATATATTGCTTTAAAGAACTATGAAAAGTATATGTTTATATCAATATTAGAAAGGTACGTGTACCTTGAACTCGAATAAAATATCTTAGCATAGAAGCTTGACGTAGCAACGCGCTACGCTTTCGTAGCAATATGTACCTGCTGCGTAGCAGCCAGTTACCAAACCAGTTAGAAAATGACAACCTATACCTGAACTCAAACTTGTCGTGAGTGTATTTATACTATTTTATTTATCATATTTTATATATATTATCATATA